TTTTTTTTTTTTTTTTTTTTTTTTAAATAAAAGAGCCCGGCTGGGTGTGGCTCAGCATTTGTGCATCGACCTAGGATCCAGGAGATCCCGGTTTGATCCCCAGTCAGGGGCATGTGGGAGGCAGCTGATCAATGACTCATCATTAATGTTTCTCTCTCTCTCTTCCTCTCTCTCTCTCCCTCTCTCTGAAATCAATAAAGATATATTAAAAAATAAATAAAATTAAAGATAGTCATAAAGATATGAAATCCTCATTAAGAGATATAAGAAATCCTTCCCTGACCGGTGCGGCACGTCCTTCCACTGGAGCTCACCTTCAGGGACTAATGCAGGCAGTGGTGCTTAAACCCGGCTATTTCTCCTGAACAGGGACATCTCTGACGGGCCGGGTATGCTCCAGACCCCCCTATGGACTTGGCTGAGGCTTTGTTGGCCTGCACTGAAGCTCCCCTTTGCCCTCCCAGTCCTGCTCTCCTCCTCTCTCCCATTAGCTATGATCCCTAATAAATACCCTGTACACCAAGCCCCATCTTAGTGTCTGTTTCTGGAGAATCCAGGAAACAAAAGCTCCCATGAATTTTTCTAAGGAACTCCCCCGCCCCACCCCCGCGCCCCGAGGGAGTGAGAATGCCTCTTCTGCAGCCCTGACTGTGCTTGCAAGCTTTTTGCCTGAAAGTTCAGTTTCCAGCTGTATATTCTTGCCAGCACTTCTAATTCAACAGGCTCAGAGCTGATGCAAAATGATCTATTGGGCTCCTAACTCAGAACAGCTTGTAGGTTTTTTTCCTTTCTGTTTCATAATTTATTTACTGGCACTACCATTGTATTCTCACAGGCTCAAAAGCTGGGAGGTGTATTGATTCCTCACACACCTTGCTCTGTACATCCAGTCTAGTATTCACGCTCTTAACATGGCAAGGACCCTACTCATTTCTCCAGGGACTCACTTCCCTCTAAACACGACTGCTGCTGAAATGATAACAGAGAGCTTTACTGCTTTCAGAGTAGTTATTCTCTTTAACAATTTCCTTTCTCTTCCCTTCTCTTCCATAGACTTTAAAAGACGAAAATTGTGTTTTTTGTTTTATCTCATAAAGGGCACATACACAAAATTTGAACCCACAATCAGCCACTTATTTGAAAACAGTATGTTGGTTCACATACTAAATAAAAGAATAATGCTTTGAGAGGATGACAGCAAATGTCAAAGGCTTCACTTTCCTTCTGCAATTAAGATTAGTGCAGTAGTCGGTAAAACAAAACATTTATTTTGCCCCCGTTTAAGATAAAATGAATTCGATTTTCTTTTCCTCTTTATAGTTTATACTGAGCAAAAGAATAAAGCCAAGTCCTAATAAATGCCAAAGTAATCATTTTATAATATAGACACTAAAACATGTGTGCATGCTATTATTTGGTTTAGGGGTCTATGAAGATGTACATATTTTTTAAAGCAGTCAACTCATTGAAAGTTACTGATATTTAAAATTGAAAGTTGAGTTGTCAGTTCAAAGTGAGAAACTGAGATGTTTGTGAGAGAGAAATTGTCAGGAAAGCAGTAGAACATTTCCTCCCCACGCGTGCAGTCTTGAGGATTTGTCACGGCCATGATGAACCCGATGACCATCACCACAGCACCAATGGGAAGCATGACACAGGACATAATCTTATCGGCGTGTGTCCATGGTTCTTCAGACAGTTTCAGATAGCAGGCTGATGGGATGATAAAAATTAGGGGAGCTGCGCAGAGCACACCCTGCGTATTGAAAATGAGAAACAAGATAATGTTATCAGATGAAACATTTCCTTGGAGAGTTTTTAAAAACATTTACAAAATGTATTTGTCATTGCCCATGTTAAAAGTTGGATAGGTTTGGTTAACTCAAACAAAGGAAAGAAAAAGATTCCAAGAAAAATTTAGAAATAGTTTTTTTTCTTTTTTGATGGCATATATATTTACAAAGGAGAAGAGTGAAATAAGAGCAAAAAATATATATGAGTAAAATATAATTCAGTAAAATAAAATAATATAATAGACTAGAAAAATAATCAGAAAATAGTACAGAAAACAAAAGTGACTGTAAGATTGACTTCTGGCAAACTCTTGAAATTTTCCATATTTTCAGTTATATCATATAATACCTTATACAAATTACTGTGTATCTACCATGCTGTTTAAATCTAAGAGGTTTATTTGTCATTGTGTAGGAGGGGGACCTATTGGGAGATATATAGGGCATATTGTCTTTTCTTTCTTCTTGAGTTTGTATGAAAGTAGGTGCCTGTCTGTTCAAGACAGAACAACTATAACCCTAAGGGCACTCAAAACAAAATCGAATTTCAAAATCATCTTTCAAGTAAAACGAAACACATTAATTACCCTAGAAAATTGACGGCAGAACTAAATGAGTATGACTCATTCGCCCTCCCCCACACTAGCTTATGGATAAGTCCAACCTGAGGGGAAATGTCACATGAAAAATTATGAGTAGCAGTTGTCTATCATAAAAATACCAAGAATTTTTGACTTCAAAGAAAAAGGAACTTTCCCCTTGAGGTGGCAACACTTGACCTAGAGACAGATTCATAGAGAGCAGGCAGACAGCTCTGGTTGGTTTGGGGAGGAGGGGTAAGTGGAGGGACTGAGCAAAAAAGAACAAAAGAACTCAGGGACAGCAGTGTGGGGATTGCTGGGGGGGGGGTGTGTGGAAGAGAGCATAGAGGGGATAAATGGAGATGAAAAAAATAAAATACAATAAAAAATTTAAATAATATTAAAATTTAAGGCATTTTAGGTAACAAATTTTTCTAATTATATTAAATGTTAATTACATTATATATTAAACAAAATATAACATATTAGTAAAATATAATTGTATGACAAAAAATATTCTCTTAAGCCATAAAACATATTGTTGTTGTTTTATAACATACACTCAATAGCCAATGTAACACTGGTTTTAAATTAAAAGCAAGCTTTGCATAAAATACATGTTTTGTTATATTTGAAAAAGTTATTATGAAATTTGTAAATATACAGAAACATAGAAAGAAGAGTGTAACAAAACTTACACACTTATAACCTATGGTTTGAAAGCTTTTTGACACATTACTTGGGTAATTTTAAATTAAATATTTTTTCCCAAAAAGATTTGAAAGCTTTTTGATACAACTTTGGTTATTTGGTAAAATCATAGAAAACTGATTTTGAAGTTGGATGATATAAAATAAGATGCTATACCTTAAGAATAATTTTAATGAAAATGCTTTCTTGATATCACCATTTACAAAATTGCTGAGTTTTATAGTAAGTACTATCTTCATACCAGAAATATTATAACTATAATTACCAAAATACCTTTATTTATTTATTTATTTATTTTTTTACAAAAAAAGCAAATGTACAGAGAAATGGCAATTAAGGGGGACACATTATAAAGTTAGACTACCATTTAAAACTCTGGGAAGAATAGGACTCACCACATTTCATGGAAAATATTTCTACAGTCAGAGATATACAAATGGGAAACTACTAAGAGGTACAAAATTGTATCCTAATTTAAAACACATGGGCAATATAATTTTGCCATTCAAAGCACCTGAATACAAATGAATACCTACAAAGGTACGCAGTGTATAAAGGTTTTCATATGGTTAGAATTAAATGAATTATGGATTCTTTGAGCTCTATTGTGACACCTGAAACTGACAGTGTTTTTTAAATTATGGGAAATCCTGGATGACTCAGTCTGTGTTTATAATAATTAACACCGTTTAATGTCTTGGAAATAATTTTTGAAAACAATAAAAAGGTAATTAAAACACAAATATACACACACACACACACACACACACACACACATACTGTATGTGTGTATGGAGAAAGTCTTTTCTCTTTACAGGAACAAACCATAATTCACCCGGGACTGTGGGGTGTGAAAGTGCTGTCAGGGTGAACACTGCCACTAGCTGCTGCTAAGAAGCTGTCATCAGTTAGCATTTTGGGGCTGCTCCAAACCTAACTTGCTGGGCTGTACAAAGCAATGGGTGTTCTGTTTATAATTCTTAAGAGCTGAGAAAGTAGCAATTAGTGGGAAAACTATATAGCTGATGTTTGTACTGGAAGAAGTCCAGCTGGGTATCTTGTCTAGATAGCAGTTACTTTCTTAATATTTGAAAGCTCAGTCTTGCTAGAGGTTGTTGTTAGGACCCAAGATCAAGTGTAAAAGATAGAGCAGTTCCATCTGCTGTACTCCTTAAAAAGAACGCCAGCTTGTTTGATCTATTTAATACAGCCTTGCTTGAGAATACATCACTGGCTTTGGAATAATTTTTGAAATTGCCTGATAGGACATAATTACCATAACTGTTTCTTAAAGAGACAATAAAATATATCCTTATTTATAAAGGCAGGACAGCACTCTCCTTTGACAATAACACTACTGGTGCCAGGGCATTTTGCAGTCTGCTGTTGGGAAATAACAGAAGGTGTTAAAGGTTTTTACTGGCAATACAGATTGGAAAAGTATCTGAATTCTCCTACCTGAACAGAAACCTCTCGAGTGAGGCAAGGAAGCTGAAAACTAAATAAACAAATGCTTATATGTCTTTTAAATTTCTACTTTGTAATCGATCTGGACTCATGAAACGTATCCCTATACCTTAAAAACAAACTCTAGCTTGGGAGGAATTTGGCAGCTTGGACTATGGCTCGCTCACCCTGATGACTGCATCTCTACATCTGGGCTCTCACTGGGTAACTGGCTTACTTTCTTCCTTCCTCTGTAAGCTGCACACAATGCTTGTTGCGCTGGTTACTCTGGCCACAGGCACCAGCTGCTTCATCTTTTCTCTTTGTACAGCTGCAAGTGGAAACCCATAGGGCCCAATTAACGCAGAGGCTTCGTTTCTCTAGTAGCAACACTGATGCGAGATGCTACCAAGAATGGGACTTATATTTATTTGCTTCTAAAATAAATTCTTTAAATTTATTTGAGGGTGTGTTTGCTTTGGAAAAACACGTTATTGTTGTCTACTGCCATGAAAACTATGAAGTAAAAGGGAAGCTAAGTTCTAAATGGGGAGTTGCTTTTTATTAAATAATTAATACAACCCTGAAAAACTTATCTTATTTTTTCATTATACTAAGTAACAGCATTTCCTTAACTTTGCAAATTGAAGGTCTATTATACATCTCATCTGTGAAGATTATTACACTTAGTGATGATTCAGAAGCCACAATAGAAAAGAATTCCTAAAGTACTACAATTATTAACTAAGGAAAAAGCTTAGTTAAAATTGTTTAGATGAAAAACTTTGAGTTCCATTTTATTTCATCTCACGGCATTTATTTTAACCCATTATTAAAGTCTATCCATATATATTATTGATTACTCTTACTGGTAAACTCAATGCATAGATTTTTAACTTAAAAAATGAATAGAGAAATGAGCATACTTATTTTACATAACTTAAAGCCTATACTTAGGGAACCTCAGACTAGCATGATTAAAAAGGTGGGCTATAGCGTCTGAAAACTTGTGCTCAAATCTTGATTCTGCCACTTACAACTAGTGTGACCTATTTAATCACTTTGTGCCTCAGTTTCTTCATATGTAAAATTAATACAGATGAAGAAAGATAACGCGTGCAAAACACTTGGCACAGAGTAAAAACTCGATCCATGTTAGAAGTGGAACACAGCATGCTTTAATTATTTTAAAAGTGCTTCATGATCCCGCCTGCATTAGTTACTGACAGAAATGATGCTTGATGTGGCTCTATTAAATGTGACAAATGCCCACACAAAGGGGATTTGAATGAAGACCTGCATATGTTATTGTGTGTACCAAAAGACTTTTGATTGGGAAAACATGCTCGGGTGGTCTGAAAGAGAAAGGAAATCCTAGATTTTATTAACCTACAAAGTGCTTTAAAACTAGTATAATGTCTTGGGTTATTGGGTCATAAGAGGCAATTTAGCACTCTTCTTCAATTGTTTTTTTCTATGAATGTCTATATAATCAAGTTTTTAAAAAAATCTAAGGATCTATAATCATGTTTTAAATTTTTAAAAATAGTCCCCAACAGCCAGTTCAGATCTTGACTTTGTAACAGATACTTGCCAAATATTCTTCTCTGATTATAATACCAGAATTCTGTCTTAGCCACAAAAAATTTTCAGCATAAGTACAATACAAAATATTTAATGGATTATGTGCTTACAATTTGTTGCACAAGTGTCAGAGAGATTAGCACTTAACAGAAAGTAATTGGTCGAATTTACAGAAATTAATCATTCTTGAAGAATAAGCAATGTGTGTATGACAGTGAATTTAAAGGGAATAAAAACTATCAGACTATCAAGATGTGGTGAGTCGTCAGGCAGTTAATAAACATACTTTCTCTCATATCAAAATCTTACAATATTAAAGGAAATATGTGAACTCAAATGAGACATTTCACGAAATAAGAACAGAACTGGCAATTATTACATTGATAATCTCCTCTGCATAGTCAACATCAACAATTAAAATAATTTTTTTTCCTTTATTGATTGATTTTATCGAGACAGGAAGGGAGAGAGAGAAACATCAATCTGTTGTTCCACTTATTTATGCATTCACTGGCTGATTCTTGTACGTGCCCTGACCGGGGATCAAACCCAAAAGCCTGTTGCATGAGGACGATGCTCTAACCGACCGAGCTACCTGGCCAGGGCGCCGACAATTTTTTGTAATACTTAATTTACTGGCGCTACGCCAAACAGTGTCCCTTATGTCCAGGAGCACTTGTAGAAACAGTCCCTGACCGTGGTGCCAGGGGCTATTACCCTGCACTAATTTGAGCGCTCGGCTCTTAGCACCGCGCTGGATCCCATGGAGGATGGGGAAGGCAGCTAAATGCATTCCCATCTTCAAATGCTTCTAATTTGGTAGGGAAGGAAAGTTTATGGACAATCTAAATAGCACATGATACAAGATAATACATAAATTAATTTAGTACGTTAAGGTAGCAGTCATCCATATAGATCAAGGTTGGAACATAAAATGATTTCGAGTGAACCTACTAGGCTTTGGTCTATGAGCAAACTTATTTTACATAACTTAAAGCCTATACTTAGGGACCCTCGGACTAGCATGATTAAAAAGGTGGGCTATAGAGTCTGAAAACCTGTGCCAAGTTGGGGAAGTAAGTACAAGTTACCTTGACCTTGTTCATTTCTCCCATGAGCTTTCTTTCCACTGCTGGTGGAATAAATGGTTCCCCAGTCCCATGCGGTTTGGGAAACTGCCTAATCCCTACTTTCCACATATTCTGCTACAAGGAAATCTATAAGAGTGTGTGACTGGTTTCCAACACAAGTACAATATATCTTTGTCTGGAACTTCAAATCCAAATGACATCTGGAAGGAACGGTGTCACTGACATCCGGACACTGACAATAACGCTTTCATCTATCCCTCAACTCTCAACGGAGAGAGTAAATAATGGCTTGGGATTCCGCCTGTAAGTCAGCCCTCCGTGGCTCATGACTAATAAATGCTATGCACTGTGATTCTGAGACATTATTCTTGTCTCACCAAACGTCATCACTATCCTAGTTCCACAAAGTAGAACCAAGGAGTCATTCTATCCCTCTGTCCTCCCAATTGAATCTGTCACCACATCTTGTCAATCTTTCCTCAAAAAAAGTCTTTTGGGAGTTCACCTACTTCTGTCTGTCTTCTTTATTGCCTATATAGCAGCTGAACTTTCATGTTCCTCTGTGAGATTATAAGCTCCATGAAAGCATGGATCCTTTCTGATTTCCTCCCATCATTGTATCTTTACTATGTGGCACACAGTGATTATTCAATATATATCTGTTCAATGAAGAAATGAGCTAGAAGTTGCACTAGATCTTAAATCTTTGTAAGATTTGGACAGAAAGGAAAGGAAAATAATAATTATGGGAAAGAATAAACAGAAGCCAAAGGATAAAAAAACTAATATGACTTACTCCTAGGCCAAAAATAAGACTGACTAGAAATGAGGGTAGATGTTAAGTAAATGGTAAACAACTTGCCATAGAAGGCAAGGAGTCAGATTACAGAGGCAACAGAAATTATGGGAAAGTGGAGATTTTTGAGCAGGATGGTGATAAATTGGAAGGAAAACCTAAATATGTGTTAGTTGAAGCAAAAAGCCAGTATTAATTCAGATGTGATATAATGAGGACCCAGATTTGGAAGTTAGAAGTAAAGATTACAAAGGAAAGTTCTAGAGAGAGAAAAAAATATTTGAAAGAAAAAGAACATGAGTCATTGCAAGTGAATGTGGGGTATGGATATCACTCTTTCCATTCGCATATTTTAATGAATCTCTCTAGACTTATTTTTACTTAGCAGGGAAATTCCAGATGCATTATAGTTGGTTTTAGTCATATCTATGTATTATAGAAAGTAAAATATGGAAAAGTGTTCTAAACCAGGTTGTCTCAACCTTAGCACTTTTGACATTTTGGATTTGATAATTATTTGTTGTGGGGACTGTCCTGGGCATTGTGGGATGTTTAGCAACATCCCTGGCCTCTAGCCCTTAGATGCCAGTAGCATCTGTCTACCCAGTCGTGACAACCAAAAATGTGCTAGACATTGTGAAATGTCCCATGGAGAAGGAGGGGAAAACTTTCCTCCACTGGAGAGCCACTGCTCTAAAATATAGAGTCCCATAAAGTATGTGATATCATCATTATAAATAGTTACTATTATATAAAAAATTCATTTTAAGTCCACTTCAGAAAGTGACATATTTTTTAAAGTATAATACATCTGATGTTAAATGTAACATCATGTTTAAAGGGATGTTTAGAATGGAAGGAATAAACCTTTAAATATACTTACATTGAGTTCTAAAACTATTCCAAGGCAATCAATCAGCAATGACACGAGCGTGGCTATGGTAATGATAACCACTGTTATGATTACGTGGAAAACTGATGAAAGATTCCCACCAAAAAACACATTGGAAATTACCTGCCAAATAAACACATTGTTTAGAAAAGGATTCTCAGACACATGCAGGATTTATTAAGAGAGTATTTCATATTATGGCACTTAGGACTGTATAAAATACTACCGATCAAATTTTAAACCATATGAATGTTCTACATTTTCCAAACTACTTACATATAGACATATACGCATCATTAACACACATTCTTTGTTGAACTATTAGACAGGTAGTACATAGCATATTAATGTGTGAATAAATATATTTCTCAAGTGTGTAAGAGAAAAGTTGCCTGTCCTTCTTCCTTGCGTCCAACAAGTTTACCACTAAGACAAATCACAGATACTTTCAGATTATTTGAATGACCTCTAAGGAAGAAGTTACCACAATTTTCTTTAATGATAATGGATGTGTAATATCCTTCACTAACAAGAAATTAGTTTTATGTAATCTAAATCCTGTTTGATACAAGTTAAACCTATTTTATCTTGCCTTTCCTCAACAAAAATGGAGAAAAGTTGATCACCATTTTCCAGATACTCAGATTAGGAAACCAATCAACAGTTACCTATTTAATATGTCCTACACTGCGATCTGATTGGCAAAGAGAAAATGTCTAGATGATTCCTATCCTCAGAAATTAACATTCTAATTGGAGAAGTCCAACGAATCTAGTGAAACAAATAGTAATCAATTTATGACAGGATAAAAAAGATCAAATAGAATTTAGAACTAGAAGGAGCTTCATTTATCTAGCTCTGTCTCCCTTAACGTGATCGGCTATACAGCATTCCTGAAATGTGCTGTCCTACCTTGGCTTGAGGTGAGGTTTGAAACATGGATAGGATTTAGAGCAGAATTATAAACTGGGGCAACAGTGTGAAAACGAGAAAAGAGGTAAGAACAGGAATGATACCTGTGAAGGACAAGAAGGAACCAGTCTGAACAGGGTGGTGACTATACAAAAAAAACCATGAAGCAAGAGTTGGAAATGGCAGAGATGGCCAGAGGCTGGGGAACCTTCACAAAGCCAACTCTCTAAGCTGTGATAAGTAACGGTACTAAATAAATAACATTCCCCATAGATGATACCACTATGGTGGTACCTAATAATTTAATGGGGATACTAACAACTTTTATTCATTTATGGTTTTACAATTGGTAATGCCTCTCCAAATATTATGTTATTTAAAAATTATTCTTATAGAGGCCTCCATGATAGAATTGTAATAGTGGAAAATCACTAGTGAGGCAAGCTAGTGAGACAGGCCTTTGGGTACCCTTGTACTCGGCTGGTTACTTTGTCTATAAATAGAAATGGCTTTGATTATGTTTATGCCAACTGTATATTTGTGTGTGTGCGTTGTGTGTGTAGAAAAAGAAAAAGAGAAAGGAAGTGAATGGGTGAGGTATATACAAGGTTCCTCTGCCTAGTCATTGCTATGAGGCAGAGCTCCTGATTTAGTTCTGTCTTCCTGTCATGGCAGCTAGAAAGGAAATACAAGTTCCAAGTCCTGAAGACCTAGCTTTGCGGGTGGAGTGACTCAGACTGTCCACAGAAGACGGTTTACCAGAAACCTATGAGAATGCACCACCTGTTACTGTTCACCTAGAGATCAGATTGGAACCTAAAGTGCTGGGCAGAAGCTACAATAAAACCATTTCCTGCATCCAACGTTGGTTAGCAAAATTTTAAGGCTCTTAGGTTTAAAAAATCGACATAAAGTTCCGTTTACGTCTCCCTTATATTCAAAGTGGAGAACTGAGCAGTGAGTTATACGTTTGCAAATGAGGTCAAGGGCTAACTGTAAAGGACGTGCACAGTGAGGAACTTGCCTTGGTCCACTGCCCTGTGCAGCTCCTTAGCCCGGGCTGGCATAAGGTAAGCGCGGATCTGCGGACGGGAGCCTGCCCATTAGTCAGTCGGTGTATTTAAAGCTCTGGAGGAGTTTCACTTCACACATAAGAGCCATTCACATGGTCACTGTGTAAACGGCCTCTAGGAATAGGCCCGAAGACTAATCCCTTTTCAGTGTGATTCCTGAAAGAGCCACTGTGAAGCAGGACCATGTTTTTTTGCCAAGCAAGCTGGTACAGTGGATTTTTTTAGCTACGAGGCTCCAGATAAGCCATGTTCTCTGATTTTACACAAAGGGGATTAATTCTCTTTCACTTCATCTTCCTCCACAAATCCAGGTAGATGATACAACATAACTTGGAGTTGACTTAAAAGTGAAATATATATATTTAAAACTGTTTATATTATTTTATATGGTACATAATACAAAGAAATAAATATATTTATATAAGCATATAAATAAAATCTATCTAGAAAACGAATGGTTTAAATGGAATTTTGGTTTTCCATGGAAAATAAGATATTTTCATTTTAAAAATATAACAAAACTGATCAGAATCTGTTCTATGGTGCCTTTAATACATGTCAACTTATAAAATATCTTAGCAAAAAGGAAATTTTGTAAAACATGTTTTAAGCCTTAGTACTTAATTTCTTTGTAAGAATTTTAAAAACAAACAAACTGAGTTTGGCTCTATTAAAGGCTGGCATTCATTTTGGAATGCAGTTGTATAAATATTTATATTTATGCTAATGTAAACTAAACCAAATCTAACTTTAGGAAAAAATATCTTGTAAACACTGTATATAAATTTATCTTTAAACTAGTCGAAAGGAAATTTTATGAATTATATTACTTGTCACGCACTTGGGAATTTGCAGATTTGAATTATTTACAAATCTTCCTAAATTAAATGTAGTAGAGAGATTCCCTAGACAAAGTGTTGGAAAGGAATTGTGCTTACCTCTCTAGTCACAAAACATTCAATTGGGTACGTCAGAATGACAGTGATTCCGTAACAAAACCTTCCAAATGTTATCAGGTCATCATTTCTGCAATAGTTTTCAAATAAGTCTCCTAGGGGATGATATAAAATAGATTTATTTAATAGATACTGTATATCAATATAAATATCTAATAAACGAGATAGTAGATATTCATATCAATGAAGCTACATAAACTTCATTTTAATTAATAGAATAGATTGTCAAATCTAAATGTTTTTGAATTCAATAATTATATAATTGCTGACTGATAACTAGTACATGTTCTACCTGAAGATGAATTAATCACTAACAGTTTTCCTCTTATTCTCATTGTTTGCTTTGGTAGATTTGCTTAAATTTGTATCCATTGTCTTCTTACACGAGAACCAACTCCCTAAATTCTTGTGCATTGGTTTTATAAACTTGCTTCTGGTCTTTGTTTCTGGTAAGTAAGTGACTTCATTATTTTAAAAAAACCAAGGGTCTGTTAAAATAAACAAATTTCCTTTTTAAATGCTATTCATAGATTAAGGACAATCCTGAAAGGAAGAGTGGACCGTTGCATCTGGGGAGCTGAATTTCCTGTGTATCACACTCCAGGGTTTAATCACAGACTCAGGGCCACGGCAAGGAATTCCAAGCATACAGTATCTTTCATGGCATCCCATGAACCCCAGTGTAAATGAGCTGATTCAAAACTGTGAAAATGTGGAAGAGCATTATGGTTCTAAATGACGGACCATATATGCCTTCAACCAATTCTTATTTAGAGACTGTGCTTTCTCAGATACCTATGAAGAAACACAGGGTCTAACGAGGGCACAGAAGACATGTCAGCAAAAAAAGTTCCCTCGCGCTGAGACAAAAAATACTTCGGTCTGTTTATTTCCTAAATATAACATGCTTACATTTTAAAATTTTCATCACAGTTTTCATTAGACTCACTAGGAAATTAGATCAAGGACACACACTACTACCTTGTTTAAAGAGAAAACAATACTTTTGTTATTTTCTTTCATTAAAAAGCTAAATGACCTGCCTCTTCCTCAGACTTATTTTAAGTGACCCTTCTCTCCTCTCATCATCAACTAGAACAAATATATACGACTTTCCAGTACTCCTCTGGGGCGGAAGGGGATTAGACCACAGAGCAGTGGTGGCAGAGGCCTGTTTTAAGGTTGCTTGAAAAGGCTCCAGCCTCCCAAGAAAAAAAGACAGAAGCTCCCCTTCACTAACCTCCACTAAAAAATGAGCCTGACACCGATTTGAAAGTCACTGGGAATGTCACGAATAACCTAGGGTTCTTGCTCCCTCCTCACAGGCTGAGATTAACCTACTGAAAAGCAGAAGAAAAGCAGCACACAGTTTGCACAAACAAGACCAGATCTGCCTAAGGTGAAATGGCCTGAGGAAACAGTGTCAGCTTATTCTAGCCTGAGTCTAAGTGTATTTTAGGGAATTATAACTGGGGGGAAAAAACAACCCTAACCAACCTGTCAGCTTTGTTACATAAAGATTTAATTATATCTGAGCAATTACCACCGAGAAACACACCAGGAAGGTGTGACTAAAAAAAAGGGTTTATGTTTCACGAGAAAGGCATTTAAAAGCCAAGGGTTTGTACAGACTGGAGCCTATAGGCCATTTATCTTGGCAAAAATAGTGATACGTGGCAATATTTTGAAACACAATTCTTATCAGGACTTACAAGGTACTTCATTACTGCACTCTAATGGTGCACACATGTATGATGTTTTTACTGCATCGGAATTATGTTAATTGCTCTCTTTTGAAACCATCTTTATTTCTATTTCATAAATATCTGCCTGTAATCATAGTCACCTGTAACCTCTATTTGAAACAATGCACTATCCACCCAGTTTTCAGCATCATCAGAAAACTCACCTAAGAGGAGCAGGAGTCTAAGAGACAGTTTTTAATGGATCATACTTGACCAAAATGGGGTAGGCAGCAAGAAATAAATGACAAGAAAATTGGACTGGAAGTCTGGAGACTTGTGTTCTACTTTGTCACCAGCCAGCTTGGGCAAGTTACTTCTGGTTGTGTTTTAAGCAGGAGGTAAAGCTAGTTATTCCACTTACCTTCATAGGGTTGTTCAAAGGTCAAATGAGATAACAGACAAATGCTGTGAGGTGCATGAATCATGGCATTTAGCAGGCTGTCAGAATACACTGACTATCATACCACAGAGATAAGTGAATGTGAGGGTCAAAGGAAGAGGAGAGATGGCCGCCCAGTTGTTGGGCCTGGGTGAATAGAAGAGAAGACAGTTTGGTGTGGGGCAGCGGGTAAGGTGGGGGGAGGGAAGAAGCTGGTGCGGTGGGAGTAATGATGTTTTGTGTTCCAGGCAAGAGTGGGACAACTAAGTAGAAATGTCCCGCAGGCAAGAGGCTAGAGATGAAAAAAAGGTCGCGTTAAAATAATAAAAGGTTTAGTGAAAATAATAAAAGTCTCCAGAGAATTTGTTAAGAGGCGGGGAAAAGGCAACTTGTCTGAGCCAGTTAGTGGAGGCTGAGGGGTAGAGGGGAGAGAGGAGGTAAGAGAAAGCAAAGACAAATTGCTCAGAGAGAAATAATTACTAAGCGTGAATGATGGCATAGTGGTGCTCTTTTCTCTACAGGAGGAAACAATGTTCAGGACGTACTGGAGGAAAGAAAGACTGTTCAGTACTGTTGAGCGACTCAGAGAGGCCCATGAGGATCAGAACCCAGAAGAAGATGATTAGCCTTGCAGAGCGGGAAGAGATTGTTTTTGAAAATAAAGTTGCAGTGGTGCAGTAGAGTAGGGAGCCAGAATTCATGTTTTCTGAAGGGAAAGCATGGAAGGAGAGAGAACGGACCACAGAAGCTCAACAGTTCAAAAAGGAGCACATTAGGGAACAGAAACAGCAGAGAGGCAAGAGGATAGAAGAGAAAATAGGTTACTCCCAAAATGAGAAGGGAGAGCACCACTCCATGTGATTACAAAATTACGGTAAGACCGAGCCTCTCATTTTACCTTGGGTGAAGCCAGTAAATGTCAAGTATCCACATGTAGCAAAGAGAATACTGATAAGCACAGAAACCAAGGTGGACACATGGATGACGCGGGACCACTTGGCTACTGTGGGTTCCTCCAAAGAACCGTAAACTAAGAAGCAGTTATGGTGGCAAATAAATGCTGCAAAACAACAACAAAAAAAGCATTATTGAAGCAAGCACCAGTATTCTCTTTTTACATCTGAAAATTCAGAGATGTATGCTCCTTTGGAATGCTAATGCACTGAAGCTCAAACACACTAATTTATGATATGTCAAAAAATAATATTTCTAACAGCTTTGGGAATGAGAAATTTCATTCACATTAGGCTTGTGTAGTCTCTTCATGTCACTCTTGATAGAAACCAGGCCTATTCAATTTTCTTTCCCATTTTCCATTTCCTACTGGCCTTTCCAATCTTAAGGGGAATATAAACAAGACTGCATTTTCAGTCCGTGGCTTCTTTTCCAATCTGTGATGTAACAGTAGCTTTAGCCACCTGGCCAATTCCTAATACTCTGTGCGCAAGGTTTTGAAGAAGTCCATTAACATTTGCTAGATTTTCAAGTTAAGAAATAAGACGACTTGAATGTTCTGCATGAGAAAGAGACTTGTCCAAATGGAAGCAAATTTTAGTGATGAATGAGAAATTTTGAGCCTAATTTTATGTTGGCACCAACTAGATCATATGGTGCTAATAGGATGTCTAAAACGTAAGACATCTGTTCTCCAGACAGGTAGGAAACATAGCACTGTTTCACTGTACAGAAGATTCCGTATTGTGAAAGGGCCTTTGAAACCATATACTCACCAAACGACATGACGCCAATAGCCTGAATGGCATTGGATTTTGCAAATACCCAGGCATCTTCTGTTTTTGGTCTGAAAGAGAGTTAATTTAATGAATAATTAAACAAATACAAGCATAAGCATATCTGAGAACAAAAATGCTGTCACAATATAAACTGAATATCTTTATATATATATCTTTATTGATTTCAGAGAGAGGAAGGGAGATGGAGAGAGAGAAAAAGAAACATCAATGATGAGAGAGTTGTCATTGATTAGCTGCATCCTGCCCGCCCCTGACCGGGATCTAGGTTGATGCTCAACTGCTAAGCCACGTCCGGCTGGGCTAAACTAAATATCTTTAAGTCAGAAATTGTAAGGGGCCTCTATTAATCTTATTTAATTGTAACTAAATTTCTCAGGAATACCAATGCTTTCTGTTAACCTGAGTCCTCTAAAACTGCATGTCAAATACTTGAAAAAACTGTTTTTAGATATTTAAAATATCCACTGACTACTTAATTTTGTGACTTTAGTCATTAATTTGACAACAAACATTTTTATGCACTCATCATTTGAAGATATAAAAGTTAATGATGCAGTGCTCTTCAGTTAATCAATACTGCCCTTTTATTTCCTTTCAACTAATTTTTCCAGATTCATCCGACCCAAGGAAAATTCATAATTGACACTACTTTATTGAGGAAGGTGGACATAAGCTAATAATATTAATCAATGATGTACTTGGTTATGTTCTGGAAACTATCCTATGTTATCTTAATCTTCACAAGTATTATTATCACTACTTAATACATTAGGAAAGTTAAGCTCTAGGTGGTCACATAACTTGTCAATCTTCCACAGATAGTAACTGAAGAAGCTGAGATTTCTCCTTGGTCTGTCTATCCCAATATCTTTTCCACACTGAACTCTCAGTGACCTTGAATTCCCACCTGTGGACATACTCCTCAAAAAGGTTCTGGAAACATATACACTTTAAATAGCTCAAAAAGTCTGTGTCTTAGTGAAATAAAAATATTTGCAAGCATACCTATTGGCAGGGATTGGTTTCCCTGATGAATACACCCCTGAGTAATGGTGAAAAGCATAGGTTCCAGGTAGGACAGCCTGTTTTGGTCTTTTGGCCCATTTCATTTATTAGCTGTGTGATCTTAGGCAAGTTAATTAACCTTTCTGTGTTTCAGTTTTGGTGTCTATAAAATGGGGACAACAAAAGTACCTAATTCATTGAGTTACTGTGTGAATTAAATGATGTAAAACTCCTGACAGAGAGCCCAGCATATTCTGTGTTCAACAAATGGTCACTTGTATTATCGGATTGTTATTGATGATGTTATTATTATCCACTATCATTTAATAAAAGGTAGCAAAAGTCTAAAGGTATGGCCAGCTTGCCCAGCTGGCACGGTTCAGTGGTTGGGCATCGACCTAGGATCCAGGCGATGGAGGTTCGATTCCCGGTCAGGGCACAGGCCCGGGTTGCGGGCTCGATCCCCTGCAGGGGGCAGGCAGGAGGCAGCCCATCAATGACTCTCTCATCATTGATGTTTCTCTCTCTCTCTCCCTCTCTCTGAAATCAGTAACTATATATTTAAAAATAAATACATAAATAAATAAAGGTACGGCCAGCTTACCTGAAAAAAAAAAAAAAAAGAAAAGAAAAGGCTTTAGCAAGACCCAAAGAACGCGTGATTAGAAGAGGGGGACAGGGCAGACAAGTCCTAGAAAGCACAAACCCACCTATTTTGTTTGTTGTTAATTCTAGAGGTAAAACAGACACAAGAAGTGCCGTGTGTTTTGTCAAAGTGCGTGGGATTTATGCATTAGGCCATGTCTTTTCACTTGTGAGATGAGCATACAGGCACAAAGGGACGAGCTGGCCTCCGGGGCCGCCTGGCTCGGAATCGCTCCGCTCNGCTCGGCTGGCTCGGAATCGCTCCGCTCCCCTTGTTTTCTGAGTGGGAGCTGCTGCCACCTGCTGCCTCTGCTGCTGCTGCAGANCCGCCTGGCTCGGAATCGCTCCGCTCCCCTTGTTTTCTGAGTGGGAGCTGCTGCCACCTGCTGCCTCTGCTGCTGCTGCAGAGGACGGCAGCCACGTACCCGCCAAGTCCCAATGTCAATGTGGAAAGATACATATTTTGTCCATGGTCCTTAAAAAGACATTTTTTTAAAGGCAGTACTAACAGTTGCAGAAACTTGAAGATTTTTAAGTTTCTAATATCCTTTAAGTGATCTACTTTCCCTGTTAAAGTATTTGTATGTGAATAAAACTCATTTTTCCTTTCAGTACAGATTGTAGTGGTGTCTTTTTAACTTCTACATTAGTAATGAAAAGATAGGAGTTTGATTTGCATTTTTCTTCTTAAGTTTTTAAAAACGTTCTTGGTCCCTATGGTTCCTTCAGTATGTTCCTAGCAAAGGTGGAGTATGAAACAGTAACTAGAGGTAATTTTGGATATTCTGTGTTCAGCTTAATGATGCTGACTTTATAAGGTGTAAAGTACTAAAAAAAGATGTTATAGGTTGGGGGGAAAATGTGTGTTCAAATCTAGATAAAGAGAAGAAAGATATTGAATATGGCTTTGCATTCTTTTATGAAATAGCCTGTGATTGAGTTCCAGAAACAACCATTTAAAGAGGGGAAAAAATGAAAATGTCTCTTGGGNAGTCATTGATCGGCTGCAGCCCGCAACCCGGGCACGTGCCCTGACCGGGAATCGAACCCTGATCGCCTGGATCCTAGGTCGACGCTTAACCGCTGAGCCACACCCGGCCGGGCTCCATTGCTTTTCAAAGAGAGTGGAAGAGAGGGGGGGGAGAGAGAGAGAAGGAGGGAGGGAGGAGGGGGAGAGAGAGAGGGAAGGAGAGGGAGAGAAAGCAACATCGATGTGAGAGAGACACAGCGACTGTTTGCCTCCTGCACTTGCCCCGACTGGGGCCAGGGATCTATCCTGCAACAGAGGTACCCACCCTTGGCTGGAATCAAACCTGGGATCCTTCAGTCCGCAGGCTGACGCTCTAACCACTGAGCAACCTGGCCAGGGCTGTTGGTATATTTTATGAGGTTGCTGAAAACTTGATACTCATTGTGGATGAGAAAGTGAACACACAGATTGTTCTAACTTTAGGCTTAGATGCTGAAACAGAAAATGAAGTATCAAACGCAATCAAGAAAGTGTGTAAGAAAAAATCATGACTACGAAGAGTTTTCCAGTAAATGCAAGAGTAGTTCCGTAACAGAAGAATCTATTAACGTAATTCATCACATCAACAGATTAATGGAGGAAAAGCTAATGCCCATTGAAAATATTCTGAATAGCATACAATCCAGTATTTATTTTGATAAGCAAAATATTAAATAAAATAGAAGTTCCTTAACTTGATAAGGATATGACATATTTAGAAGTGAAAAGTTAGACATTGTTAGGAAACAATTACATTTTTAGGCATATACCCTAGGCTGGGGAAGTGCACATGTGTGCAAGGAGACACAGGTAAGGATGCTCACTGCTGCGTTGTTTATGAGCCAAACTCTGGAAACAACCTCAACGTCCAGCAAAAGAATTGGTAAATAAGTTCATAAGAAAATGTGACATAATTATAAATTGGTGTGCTATACAGCAATTACAAAGAGTCACCCAGTGCTTACTGTATCAAAATGGAAATCTATGGGATGCAATATTGAGGGGAAAATACTGATTATGTACATTTTTACCACAGTGACTATGTATATTTACAAACATACTAATCAATACTCTATCTTGCTGTCCATACATAAAGGCACAGTATAAGTAAAAAGCATGTACAGGAATGATTCCAACTAGCTTAAACATGATATTTACCTCGGAGCAAACAAAAATGAATCCAACTTAAGAATAACAGTTACCTCTAGACAAAAATAAATGAATCACCTTTTAAGTACGATAGTCTATTGTGGGTAAAGATTAGAAGCAAGTATAGATAATTATTTAAAAAAAAAATTTAGGCAATTTCCTGCTTCCTGAACTTAATAAAATTATATGATATTCTACATAAAACCTCTCTGGGTCTGAAACTACATTTTTCCTGCTTTCCAGTCACTTAGTCAATTCATTCACTTTTCGACGAATATTTGTTATAATCACTGGGGACACTGAAGAAAAAAATGACAAAAGAAGGAGGTCAACTATCATGGTGTATATTTTATGTCATAATCTAGACCACCACCATACAATAATGCTTGGTGTGACGGTGACGATGTTCTGTCTGTGCACTGCCCAATGTGGTTACCACTAACCACATGTTGCTTGCATTTATTATTTATTTATTTATTTTTCTCCACTTGTTTGCTTTAGCATTTGAAATTATGGCTAGTGTGACACGGGGATTAATTGTAAATCTTATTAAATTTTATCTAATTTAAATAGCCATATGTGGTTAGTTGTTACTGTGTTGGAGAACACAGATCTAGAAGACTCAAGTAGGTAGTTTTTGTTTCAGAAAATCTTATCACCTTCTAAAGGTCTAAAAGAGTTAACGAAATTACCTAGAGAGGTTTAGTTTTTCCTACTGTGTAGCTTATGCTGTACATTTCAGCTCCTGCTCACCACCTGGGCGTTCTGACAGGTACGCAGAAGAATGAGAGTTGAGTATAGCAATAAACAAGAAGAATGCTTTGTTAACTTATAAAGAACTATGGATATCAGAGGATTTTCAAAACAAACAAGAAAGCAAAAAACAACAAACTGGGAGAAATAAATTGAAATTGTTTTTATAAATAGACAGACCCAAAGGCATAGTATATAGTAGTCATATTGAAATGAATTAACTAAATAAAACTCAATTTGTTATTAAAAATGATTAAATCATGGGATGAGTGCTATTTAAATTTTTTAAAAAAGAATGATCCATAATAGATTACCTATAAACAGGGAATGCCTTCTAAATAATTATTCAAATTCAAACATATTAATTAACATACAACTCTTCAGGAATATTTCTTTCGTACAAAGTGAGGCGAGTTTTCTTCTGAAGAACCCCCAAGATAAGAACTCTTCAATTTCTCTTTGTTTAGATTGTTCTGTTGCTACTGT